GGGGGAGGGGGCGCCGAGTTTTGACTTGCCTAGGGCAGCCCCAAACCAGAATACACCACTGTATATATATATTTATATATATATAGTTGGAATAAGTGAGTACACAACGGTCTCTTACTGTTATAGTGAACTTTAAATCAGCGAGACATCTTACCTCAAACAGACCATTCCCTACATGCACAGTGATGTAGCATTTAGGAAGATAAATGCGGTGGTTGGTTTTGCTATTTTTATCTTTACTGAAGTAAAACATTCAAAAAGATTTGTTTCCTAAGTGCATTTCCACTTTGGCAGCCAAATTAGGATAACATCTACTTTATATTTGTTGTTCAAAATTCACATAGCAGAATAACAAATATTTAAACATTTCTGCTAAAATTATTTTGCCTTTTACTTGCTTAAAAATACTACTTAGCTTTCCCATTCTATGTAAGTTTAAGGACAAGGCTGTGGGAAGTTATGTTTACCATAATTAACCCTGTCTGTTCTCTGTTCTGTAATGGCACATCTAATTAGTAATTATAAACTAAATGTGCTCTGGTGCCGAAGCTAGCCGAAGGATCGGCCGAAGCTACGGCCAGATCCTTCGGCAGCTTTGTGAATAGACCCCTGTGTGTCTTAGCAAAGGGTTAAAGATCCTAAACAAGAACTCTGGGCATAACTATTGTTAACCTTTGCAGTGGGGCTACCCCCACACTGCAAGGGTTAAGTGATCATTTTTTGTCTAGGGATTTAAATAAAAAAGTTATACTCACCTGAACTGGCTGTTATACTGGTCCCTGCTGCCTCACTCCCCCTTTGTTCTCCCTCTGCTTCAGAAGGCTAAGGTCCTGTGAGTCATCATATCCTATGCAATGTATAGGACAAGAGGATGCTGAGGGGTATAACATTGCTAGAGCAGTGGAGGAGAGAGATGTCAGGGACCGGAGTAGCAGGCAGCCAGCTATAATGTTGAGGGGAGTATAACTTTTTTATTTTCATCCCTAGACGAAAACGAGCACTTAATCCTTGCAGTGCAAGGATTAGGAATAAGTATGCCTTGATTTCCTCTTTAATGTTTGGGTGGTATTTTGATGCCCTTTCCCTTAGTCCGTAACCAGTTTGCCCAAATGCCTGCTCCAAACAAACTAGTACAAAGGTAAGAATTTTTTGT